TACGTAAACAATAATTTTGTTACTCGACGAGCGAATCTGTTTGACTTAATACTGTAATGTAGGAAGGACTTCTCCGATAATCCAGAAATTAGCCGTCACAGCCACGCCCGTTGCCCGTCACGTACAATGGGCAGCCGATTATTATATGGTAACTAGAAATTAACAGTGCTGATGAGCTGTACAATAAATACATTTATGAAGTGAGATAATCGGATGAAAAGAAAATTTCATTACGTTGGGAATAAAGGATTATGAATTTTCATTACAGCATAATTAACGCGGGCGATATACAAATTTTTAATGAGCCACTCGGTTAAAATTTCAGCAGAACGAGCATGCGGAGATTAAGTAAAACCTGATTGTTCACCTCGTAACGCTGCGCGCGGCATTTTTGAATTTGAATATTTGACGAGGTTCGAAATTATTCGCGGAAACGGGTGGCAAATACGCGAACGAAACAGTGTCTTGAGCGTATCAAAATAGATGATATAATGATCGAGCTTCTCACTGTCGCTCGCCTTTATTCGCGCGACACGTAAAACGGACGCGTCTATAGCGGGCCGTTGAGGGGTGAATTGGATCTGTATTTCTGTATATCCGCGCTACTAGCTCGAGCTAGTTGTTGCGGCCCGGCTTAGAATAGAATTGGAACCGAATTTCTATCTCGGTATACCGTTTCCCGGAGCAAAAGTGGCTTTCCCCGGCGGGCTCGCGCCGCAAAAGAAAAACGAACGCGCGGATGTAAATCCTGCCGCGTACGACACGAATAAATCACCGAAAAAAACTTTTCTAGAAGTTCATTCAACCCCCTCCTGCCGGCATTCAGCGAGGATAAAGGCGTTCTCTCCCCCGGCTCACGTGAGCGCGCACGGAACCCGCGCCTGTCTTGCATTCTTACACGAGGGCTCTTGCATGAAACTCGTGTTACGATCAGCGGATCTCGCGCTACGATCGGTAACAAGCTCGACTCCTCGTTATAGGCGGGTTCTCTCCTAGCCAAATCCCCTGACGTTCGACACCACGTTGCGGCCGCTGCATATTTCGTTCGTTCTTCTTTTCCCGCGCGTGTATTTAAATCCGAATGACATCTCGCTCGCGTGAAACGCGCTGTCGACCCTTTTATGCATTTTACGGCGCGCTTTGAAGGCAGAAAGGGGTTCGTCGGGGAGCCTGATTGGCGGCCCGTCGGAAAGAACTGTCAGCGAGTAAGGACCTACGGTCGCTTTTTCTTTTCCTCGCCGCTCTTGCGGACGTTCGAGCGAACTTCTACCTTGGATGCGATTACCATTTTATCGAGTCTGATTTGCGAGCACTTTACACGAACCTTGTTACTGCATGGGCATTGTGAGCGAAGGGCTGCACTTACTAGCATTGTCGTCGCTCCTTCAAAGATTTAGTCGGACCCGGAGGTGGGAACGCGTGTGGATGTAAACGTGCAAATGCTGCACGTAACGTAACCGCGCACACTTGGGCGACGTAACACGCTACACCGCCGGCGTACATTCGGGCGTTTGTTATCACCAGGTACGGGCCGCGATCGATCACGTCCGGCCGAGGAAAAATAAGGCGTAAGGGTGTCCGTATCGGACGGCCGGCATAACGCGCGAATCTTCTGCAATTGATTACGGAAGCGTCGGGATACAATGGGCAAACAACATATGCCGTTGAATTTCAATTTCGCGAGTCGATCAATGTTTACCGGCGTCTCACCGTTTCGGTATCGCGGGCTCGCGTGCTGTTTGCACGTGACGAATGTACTCCCGGTAATGCGCAAATAAATCGATTTCAATCATAAACAGCGGTTGGATCGCACGAAGGAAACTTTCGGCAAACAATTGTTTCATTATCATCGCAAATTAATACAAACACGTGTCGATATGCGTATTATTGCGGGGAGCGATTCCGGCGCGCCGGTCGCCCCGCCAGGTGTAATTTCAATCTATCGCGGTAAACGAGTCGGTCGCAGATTCCGTGGATTCCGTAATAAACTCGTAGGTGCAACGTAGGTACTTTCGCCAAAACAAAAACGCGATCGGGGATCGGGGCGCAATTACGTAGCGCGAAACTTGCGCGCGGGAGGTTTATTGAAATTTCGCTGTTCGATATTCCTTTCATTGCGCGACTCGAAATGAAATTTCTGCTCTCCGCTCCCGGGGCGCGCGCGAAAACGGAGCGGACCGCTCTTCTTCGCGCGCGCTCATTCAATTCGGAGCGGCGCGATTGTATTAAAACCGTCCTTTTGTGCGACGCAAATTTGTGTATCTATAATTGCGACAGTTCGCCTTTATTAAGCGACAGCATTTGTCAGCCAGACACGGCGAGTGGACCGTCGCGGAGTACCTTCCGTGTGTATAACTGCGCTGCACGGTTAATAACAAGTTTCGTCGTCGAAACGGAGGAGATACGGAACACCGGGCGTCCTATCGCGTCGCATTGTAAACTGCGAACGTACTCGCGAACTCCGCCGCGGCACCTCCTCAAAGACGTTGGACGCTAACGAATGGCATGGAAACGAGCGCGAAGCTTAATCCGAGGCATCCCCTTTTGTATTACCATACCGCTGAGTAACGGCAATAAAGATACGAGAAGGGTTGGTGCCGCTTAGCGTTTCTTCAGCCCCGTCGCCCTCGAATCCCCCGCGACGAACGGGACAGGGTGGATCCTCGCGCGAAAAAGCCGCGCGGCAAAATTCGCCGGCGGCAATCGGGCGTAATTGCGCGCGGAAATGCGAAACATAATCACCGGCGGAATCCTATTTTTCCGACTCCTCCCGAAAAGAGCGACCGGCGGAGCCCGGGATTGGGGCAGGCGGGGCGGGGACTGGTCATGCGAGATTCGTAATTACGCCGCGTAATTACCAGATAACAGATAGGCGGGCGAGTATTCACGTTTTTCCGTTGCCACACGTCCGGAAAACGTGCCGCCGTCATTGGGTGCAAAGCGCATGCCGCTCCTTTAAATCTTCCGGCGCAACGAAAAAAGGGGCACTTCTGCTAAGTGAATTTTAAAGCGACCCGCAGAAGCCGTTAGCGGTGGAAATTTGAGGCTGTTGATAACGACCGTATTACGACCACTTTAAACGATCGATGAAATTTTGATGACGACGTTCGGGAATACCGGGGGGGGGGGGGCAGAAACACGGAGGTGACCGCAGCTGCATGTCTGTAGGATTAACTAATTGTAAGATAATAGGATCTATTGCACGGAACAAAAGAATATTCTTCTTTAATTATGTTTAGTTTCGACGTGAAAATCTTGCGTTAGGAAGATCCCTCGGCCATCTTTTTTACCGACAAATATAGCTTTTGCGCTTGTATTTCTTTTTATTAGCTTTTCTGATCGTTGTGCAGAAAAGCTAATAAAAAGAATTACAAGCGCAGAAACTATATTTGACTGTGTCGGTAAAAAAGATGGCTGAGGGATCCTCATCAAATTTAAAAAAAATTCAAAGTTCTTCGAAATGCCATGTTGTCCCACGATCACACGATATTCAGGGTAAATTTTAAAAGAAATTTCTCTCCGTGCAGTAATGCCTAGTAATGTCCAGTGATGCCGCAAATCTGTACACCACAATGCTCTCAGCGATTTACCCCTCGAGCAGGAAACATATTGGATAGAAAATAACATGTTTTCAAATCGAAAATTATAACGATTAAAATGATTTTATTGTGAAAATAATCATATGTATTCTTGAAGTGACAATTAAGACTGCAATAGACAAATAAGACTAATATTGTCGGAATATAAGATTATTAAATGCTTCTAAGAAGATTGGAGATTGTAGCGTATATACAAAACAATGAACGTTAATTTGAGTATGTAAAAGTTGAGCTGACACTTATTCTTCTTCTGTGTAAGAATTACGAGCAGCGTGGGTTAGAATACTTGGATAACAAAATGTCAGCAATACCGTACTTCGTATTTAATGTCAATTTTTATTTCGCTGTAACATACGTTGATACGCGATGGACAATTACGTGTATACCTGTTGTTCAGAGAATTTCCCTCTTTATGTATTAAAAAAAAAGCATATCTCGTGTATCTCCCTTTGAAAGGGCCGGACACTTTTCCGAAATAAACAAGCCCTTTCGTCCGGCCGTTTCACTGGTAAATCGTTCGCAAACTTTTTCAGTGGTTCATGCGAAACCCCGATACGTTGATTCGCGTGAATCCGCTGATGATTACCGACGCCTGCCCGTGTCCCGCGCGAAAATCCGATTAGATCGGGTTTAAAATCGATGGCGACCGGGCGCGGGGATCCATTCGCGACGGATGCGAGCCGTGTACCTGGCGAGGGTCAGTGGCGGGCAGTTCGGAGGGAGCGTGTTTGAACTCGGTCGATGGGCGAACGGCGTGTGGACGGGAGGGGAGTGAGACGGACGTGCGGCTTGCAATTACCATTCATTACTTTGTTGGGGCCAATTGACATAACTGATTGGTATTCGGCACCCCGTGCCACCCTCAAAGGACCCTACCGACCGTCACGAAGGGGGCTAATGTAGTTACGTTACGTCTGCGCCGCGAGCTACGTACATTTCCGATCGCATCGTCCGTGCTCGCTCACGGCGTCGCACGCGCAGAGTTAAATCACGAGTGGAGCACTCTTTCAAGGATTAATACGGTTCCGAGCGTGGCGAACCTCGCGGATCGTGCACGAGGATCTAATCCCGCCGGGGAGATGCTCGTATGTGCCCTCGTTCTCTCTCCTTTCCTTAACTTACTTTACTTCTCGTTGTTTTTCTTATTGTCTTTCGGCAAGCGTAGCTGATTCTTAACCGCTAACTTAATTTAGAGAGCGCCGAGCTCTGCAGACTACGCCGGCCTTCTCGAAACCCGTCAACTTTGTAAGTGGATTCGCGTAAAATTTAATAATCCAAGAGGGAGAGAGACTCGCGGCAATCCAAACTGTTTATTTTATGACTGTCATATCGAGCGATCGGTGGTACGTTACTTTCACGTCTCCATCAATCTAATATCAAAAATCTTTTCTCTTGTTGCAGAATTATTGCGCGGCAGGATGGTGTTGCGACGTAGATATTCTGCGTAACGTGCACCGCCAACTTTCGAAGGACGCGCAAAGCCAGGTAAATAACAATGAGTCTGCGGGCAAGTAACTTTGTGCTAATTGTTAGGAAAGTAATATTTGCATCTCAATTACTATGCGCAAAGTGAGTGCATGTAACGTGATACGTTACGCCGTAATCGATATGCTCTCTTATACGAGTTGCGTTTAATCGCTACAACGCACCGTTAATCAGTCCTCGAACAATATTGAAGTGATTCGAGAAGCCAGCGAATGAATAAACTCTAATCAAGCGTCCCCTTTTACAACGCACTCTTTTTCCTCCGCCTCTCGGGGCACCTCCGTTCCACAAATCTAAGCGACTATCGCAACCTAAATCGAAGTCTTTTTCCTTGACCAAGCACTATTTCTACACGAAGGAGGTACACGAAGAATGGAAAGTCAACTGATAAATAGTTCCTAATGTTTCTTCGCTTCGGGTCTCTCCCTCTCTTCGCGGTACGACGCGCCGAGTACACTTACGTCTGCAAGAATTTCGGGCTCGCTTTAGCTCCATTCTCTCAAGAGAAATTCTAACTTACCGTTAAAAGAAGCGAAGCGAAAAATTCTGCTTCATTGCGAACGGATGACATTTCCCTTCGCGGGAAGGGCCGCTCTTGGCGACATTCTCGCGTTCCTTATCGCGGCGATGTGGAACCATCATTTCCCTGGAAAAGCCCTCTTAGAATGATCACCGAATGAAAGGATATTTAAAGGAGCCGGTGGAATTGCGTTCCAAGTGTCACACTAGGCTTGAAGCTTCGCGGGAGGAAGCGTAAAATTTTACATCAATTTTAATTCAACCGTCCATGAAATCACTCCGAACAATCTTTCAATACGCGTATCTTTTATCGTAATTACGTAGAATACAATTCTAATCCCTATTCCATAACCCACACGCGTGCACGAAAGGAAGAGTTTAATACTTGTAAGAAAGGAGGAAAAGCGCAATTAACATTTGGCTTAGCAGCGCCAAATTTTTGAATAAGCAATAATGTCGTGAATCAGGACCGATATGCATTCAACAATTAAATTAGAACAGGCCATCTTTTAATTAAATGCTTATTTGTATTAAAGTTGTGTGCATTGTATTTTTAGTATAAGTTTAACTCGAATAACGTTTTCGTTAAGAAAATCTAATTGATACTTTATTTCATTACGCAATTCAAAATAATAATTTGCGCGATCAGGAAAATGTTGAGCTCTCCGAGACATATTTAAAAGAGCGTGGGACACCATAGCCTCTTATAGATAAGAATTCAGATGTCGTTTAGATATTTCTCAATGTCACTTTCCTTGCTACGATACCGCCATTTTCGCTGAAGTGGCGTATGTAAAATTTTTTCGATATTGTATCGAACGTGAGAAGTAGAAATTTTACTTTAGACGTTATCTCACGATAATGCATTCCGAGGAACGCACAGTGGAAAGAAATACATTTCGAAGTAAAGCACATTCAGCACTGCGTAACGTTATTTATTGCTGCGCGTCAGCTGTTTTCAAAGTCGACAGTGCAGGGCGTCTGAGTGAAATGGACATGCGAATCTTAAAAATGTTCATGCTGAAAGAAAAGCCGTTACGGTCGAAATGCCGTATCGTTGTATCGATAAAATGCCAGGCGATATCGACCGCAATTCGTTGCAATTCGGCGGATATGGCGCATCCTCTTGCCCCGTGATCTCGGTATCGTTTAAAACCGTCGCGACTATTCGATTTTGTCGAGTTTCCTGGATTAACGCTTCTGTTTCTCACATAAACACCGCGGACAAATCAAGGCTTTGTCGCGAGACGCAATACAACACCGAGAATGGCACAGTATTGCACGTCAATGACAACGTTTACACGACCCACTTTACGCCGGCTTAGTGTACCAGCTTACTGTATCTCGAGTGTTAAATGTGGTATAGACCGTGATTTTACGCTCTGGTCACTACAACCGTGTAATTACGTGTTCGTACTGGAGGATGGATGTAAAGTCGCGGCATGCGGTGAGAATTAAAAGTCACCTGATATTTACGGAGTGTCTGGGGGAAAGTGCTCGAAATAAATTCTGAAAACAACATACAATATTGATCGTACAATCTAAATCTTTACGAAGAGAAAATATACGATTTTATGTGTCGCGAGTATTTTGGTATTGTCACACGATAACGAAAATAGCGCAGAAGTTTGAACAATATCTAAACGATATCTGGAAAACGATGTCTGCGAGACCGTGGCATCCCGCAGACGTCCTCTAGGTATTTGTATTGCCTGGGTGCCTTCGTAAAGCACGACGGGATCTCCCAGAAAGTACGAAAAATTGCAATTTTAAATTGCGAAAAAAAAACACACACACACACAAATAAATTGTCAATTCGATTTCCCTTTTTTTTATCCAATTAATCCGATGTTGGGATGGTTTCCCTTCGCGCTACGCCTGAATACAAATCGACCATCAGCCGATGACTCTTATTGCAAAACGGCAAAACGATAGAAACGTGCGCTTCAAAAGAGTATTCGATACGCACCGCATTGCACGTATCCATTGCACATGTCTCCCTTTTCCGCATTTATTTCCGTTCATGTCGTCGAATATACGCGTGCCGATGTTCAATGAATGTGTTAAAAACACGGGATATTTATAAATCGAAATGGAAAAAGCGATTGCGTTATCATACGTCAAAAATTCAGTCAATAATGCGCGCGTAACATCGCCTGGAACAATGAAAATAAAGTTTAATTGACGTTGCGCAACAAACCCGTGCGCCGTGCATACTCTCGTACGAAAGAGCATTTCACTGAATTGCATTATTAACAAATATGTCACGTTCAGATTCTGGAACATTCTGACGAAACGACAATGTTTCCGAAAAATTCGCGGGTATTAATCCGTAATATATTATACACGAAACGACTAAGGATGACTGACACCGGGGTCGGCCAAGTTTCAAAAGCATCGTGAATTTGGAGAATTTCCTTTGGAAAGAAACGCTATTGTGCAACCCTTACTGAGATCGATATCCTCGCTCCTCCCTATTCTTCCGTGTCCAATTAATAATTTAATTGCATTTGCGCGTGGACGGAAGAACCGTTAGCCACTACAGCGGATTTGACACATTATTATTTCACGGAAAAGCTAATTAATATGTCGACGAGGTACGCAAAACAAAGCCTCATTTTCGCGACCGATCAATGATTCGGGACAATGTAATTATCAGCTCCATTTACACCATTGACAGTGATGATTCATTATCGGGTAAAAGGTGAGCGGTGAACGGGCCATATGCGCCGCTATTTTTATGGAACCATTATGAAAAGCTTGCCTAATTCAGTCTGATGTCATTAACGTCTGCGATTCGGCGATAAATTATTCAGGATAATTGGATTCAGGGCATGCATAAAATCCACTTAGTATATGGCGCCCATTCAGTAAGGGTAGTCGCGGCACATGCACATAAAAAGGGGGAGGGAGGGAGAGGAGAGGGCGGGCTAATGCTCGGACAGAGATTATTTTATGCTAGGCTCTGTGGCGCGCGTTGTAAATCGACGCTATAGCGCAAACGGCCATGGATATCGTGGTGTTTAATAGTTACCCATACAGCACCGTGTAAAATAATACTATTCGGAAATTACTGATCCCGCTGTGAGCTCGCAACTGTAATCCTAAAGGTGACGTAGTGTATCGTATTTTCACGTACTTATTAATAAGGAAAACGAGTTACTTATCCTTACATCTTTCGACATCTCGAATCCACTCGAACGTCTGAAAGTATTGATTTATTAATAGTGGAAAGTCCCCCATTGCGAGATAGACTCCTAATACGAGATAGCGAGGTTTCTGTTAAATTAATAGACACACCATCTGTTGATTCGACCGTGAATTTACTGCTCTTGGAGCGAAATCCGTTCAGTGGAACATTTATTGTGAGATCGTGTAATCGTTGCGAAAAAAGATTTGCGATTGAATTTGCGTTCGTTGAAAACCAGCTGTCTCATATTAGAAACCTATCTCGTAATAGGGGACTTTCCTGTGTTCTTTAATGTCGTCGTTCGGATTTAATTAGATGGAACTTGTTACCAGGACCGATAACAAAATTAAGCCGAGCAATAATATTGGGCGACGCTAGCAGACACGCGCGTTTACGTTTTCCGTTTTCAGTTTTGCTAGCCAGAGAGCATTTTAATAATTGCTTTGTCCGTTGCACGCCAGTTACTTTGTTACCGTTGAAGGGGGCCTTACACAAGAGGTCCGTTTGCAAATACGCCGATCTTTAACGTCGCAGATTGCATTCGTGCATCTTGCTGCATTATTAAACGAAACGCGAAACAATTTCTGCGAAACGAAGACGCGCCTATGTACACCGCCGTCAGTAGTCGCTGCCTCGCGCTGCAGCTGTACGCACGGCGTACAAACAAACATTTTTCATTTAGAATACTTTTAAATATCAAAGAGCGCGCATACCGGGGGCGAGGAAAGAACGCAATTCTCCGCGGGCTACCGCTGTCTGTATCGCCGGACCGATTTCCGCTTGGACGTTATCCTGCTACGCGCGGCAAGCTAAAAGACCGGGGAAAAACGGAAGGAATGTACCGAGAAGGGGGCACGTATGGCGGAAACGGGGGTTGAGAGGCACACGAATTAATTAAGAGTTCGCGAGGAAACGTGATATAGCAGCGGTACAAGGTTCATACCAAATATTCAGTCGTACGAACTCGAAAGAAGAAAACGAAGAAAGATAGCGCGGGGCTGAAGATACAAGCCCCGCCGATTTGCCATACCGCCGGCGTATGTCGGCACACGCACGTTATACATGCGCGATATACAAACGAAACCGCTGTAGAGGGAGAGTAGTGCATCTCTCCTAGCTGTCTCGGGGACGAGAGAACAGCGAAGAGGACTCCGAGACAGAAGAGGTTGAAGAATGTGCACTCAGCGTGATTGGTGCTGCGCGCCGGTGCATAGTGCCGGCTGTCGGCATGAAAACTCGAGAATTTTCCCAACTACTCATGTGCACACGGCACGGGGACGTGCGTGCAAGTCTGCCTCTCACCGCGTGGCGTCTTAGCTACCTTAGCTGATCGAAACTATCGGCTTTCCTGTCGTAAATCTATTTTCCTCCCCGCATTCTGCCCTTCTATTTCCGTTCCGGCATGTATAGCGAAAAATATGTAAGTTTCAGCAGTCTGCAGCCCCCGGTTAAGCACGTAGACTTTCGCGAACGACGTTACACGCATTCGAGATGAATTCCGACAATATTGTGGCGACATTGATCAACAAGAATATCTGAATTGACACAGGTTCGACTCGGGGGTATCGGTGGCAGATTGAGGAGAAAATTTTTAATTCCCTCGACACGTGTTTCACGCGCCAAATTTCCAATCCCTTTCACAGCACTTGCATTGTATTTCGTTAAGCCGCTTCAAACGGCACCGTAAATCAGACAGATGTCCAAATTTTGCTTGTCTTGTTGTATTTGCCGAACAACAAAGCGAATTTGTATTGGGATTTTACAGAGAGATTTTCCAGTAATAAAATAATATTCGGCATCCTGCTATTGGTTTATTCGCGTAGATATAAACAACAAACAACGCTCGCAAGTTGTTATGTAAATCGGGCCGAATAAAGCACCGTTTATCAAAGGCTAATATTTATCGAAAGATCATTCTCACGTTGCTATTGCAGCTACCACAAAATCAAATGTTATCGCGAAGCGTGCTGTACGACACGTACGTACCAACGTATATGCTGCCATTTTGTATTTTATAAGCGACGAACAAGAAAATACAATATAATTAACTACTGTTACATTTGGTCAACTGAATTTTAACATGAACATGCAAATATAGGTAATCAGGATTTTTCACTCTTTTAAACACGCGCGTTTGATATCTAACATCTATTTCACGAAAGTTATTCCTTGCTTCTTCCATAAATGCAATAAATAATAAATGCAACTTGTATTACTTTTGCACATAAAAGTCTTAAAATTGAGTAATTTTTGTTTTTATTACGTAAAACATTTTGCCGCATATTAAAAATTAAGTGATACAGTCTTCATTAATTAAAAGACCAAGAAAGTCGCACTTTCCCACCAATGTCTTAATAAAAATTAATGTACTTTACTAAAAATTAATGAAAACCTAAAACTGGTGTTAACATTATGGTATGAAAGAGAACTGAAATGGTAATTCAATTTCTATCGTTTTAATGAATTTATACAGGAAAAGATTCTTTTAAGAAGTCGAAAATTTCCCTTGAAAAATTATTTTACAGAATTGAGCACATTCATTATTAATAACGCATTGTTAACGATCAACCGATGTATGATTATGAATGTGATAATATCAAGCTCTTATAAAACGTATATAATATTTATTCCTCTAGAATATCTGCATTCGACAGCTTAACGTAAAACAAACTACTAAAATGAACTCTATAAGTGACTTATGTATGTTGCATACGCAAGTCCGAAACTTCGTGTTACCGGACGGTTATCTGTGAACATAACGTAGGCAGGAGTTTAAACCAAATCTGCTGTGGTGAGCACAACGGAGGCCGAACCGGGCATAGCGATGCAAGTCGTATCGACGCGCGATCCTGCCAGCATCTCGGAATGCACACTGGGCGCATAGACTATCAGCTGCTCTGGAATATTCATCCAGGTCCTGGCGTCTACGGTGACCGGCGTGTTGGCGAAGTTAACCATAAGCGCCACGACGGATGCACCGTGTCGTCGTACTACACCTAGGATTTCCTCGGTGACCAACACGGTCTGCAGGGAACCCCGTTCGACAACGGGCTTCCTTTTCAAACGCGACAAAGATTTGAATACATTGTAGTGCGACACGGTCGCGGCCTTTTGCGCCGCCAAATTCAGAGTTTCATAATTGCTGTTCACCGGAAGCCACGTCGTATCGGTGGTAGAAAAGCCGGCGCTCGTTCTGTTTTTCCATTGAAAAGGCGTTCTTTCCGGGTCCCTCGATTTTAAACGATATCTGCAAGTGCGTTAAAATCGAAGTCGGTAAAATATTGTAACGCGGTAGAAAGTGATGTCTCAGGTATAAAAATTTGTTAGAAATTTTTATACGTTTGATAACAGATGCTCTTTGAAAAATATGAATGCACTACAAAACTCTCGGTTGATAAAACAAAAAATCCATGAAACCTGTGAATTATTTCATTCGTTACGTCAACCATTGCAACATGTTTCTATTGTGAGGATAAACAGCGTGCACTATACAATACGAACTTTTGGAACGGGTTTTAACATTGACGAAAATAGTAGAGCGAGAGATTTGAATGGAATTATTTTTCAACAAATTAAATTAGGAATTCTTATAATAGAGATTACGTTGAGTATATACGTATTTATGCTATTTAATTTAATCTTTGCATAAGAGAAAAAGCGTATAATTATTCGACATAATATTATAAAATATTACACTCGAAAGTAAAATGATGAATTTGTAGATATTTCAAATCTACTTACAAGTAAACCTACCCAAGTGGGGACACACCGACTTTCATGAGTGTTGAATATGTTGTTTTTTAGCACAAAATAAGGGACACGTATTTTTTTATACGTGCCCATACGCACTTTTCGGTGGTGAAATACCCCTTTGAGGAAAATTTGATTTTCTCTTTCGGAGCGAATATTAACGAAAATGTAAGAGCCAGGGAAACAAATTTTAATGAACGTTAAACGTTTCATAGTACTTTAAAACTATGAGAAAAAAAGTTTAATTTTTCTTTTTCAAAATACCCCCACCACTCAACATTTTTTATTACCATTTTGAACTTAATTATATACGGTTGAATTCGTAATAAAATAAGTTCTAATTTGGTGCTAAAATTTTTCAAAATTGTAATAAAAAATGTTGCGTGGTGTTGAAGCCATTCAACGTTTATTAAAAAAATTTTTTTCTAGCTCTTACACTTTCGTCAATATTCGCCCCAAAAGAGAAAATAAAATTTTCTTCAAAGGGGCATTTCACCACCTAAAAGTGCGTGTGGGCACGTATAAAGAAATACGTGTCCCTTATTTTGAGCTGAAACAGAACATATTCAACACTCATGAAAGTCGGTGTGTCCCCACTTGGGTAGGTTTACTTGTTAGATACATATAATTTTGTCCAAGTTTATCTTTCACCCGTGATACCTGTCTGGTCCAGCATTACGTCCGGCAGGATCCTTGGTTTCGTCGTACGTAAAATTTCTATCGAGCATACCGATCTCATCGCCATTGTAAATTACGCTCACGCCGGGTAAAACGGTCGCCAGCATGTTAAGTTGATCGGCCCGTTTTTCGCCGAATCTCGTAGCCGCGCGATGATTGTTATGATTGCCCACCACCCAATTCGCCACGTACGCGGGATCGTTAGGCATATTGTTCATCCAGCGATCGACGAGACGTTTGAAGTCAGCTGCGCTGGACATGTCGTTCAAGTCAAGGATGAACATAAAATTGAACGGCACGTTCGAGCCCGACTTGTAGTACAAGGGGAAATCCGTGTCGGCCTCGGTTAGAATAATTTTTCTACCAGTCGTTTTTGAGTGTTTATCCACTAGTTCTCTCCAAGACTTGAGAATTTCGTAAACCCCGGGAAGATTTCGCGTGTAAATGTGATCCAAGGTTTCATAATCATCATCCGGTATCCCTGGCGCGTCGTTTCGAGGCTCGTCCAGATAACGTGCGTCCTCAAACAAATGACTAATGGCATCGATGCGAAAACCATCCACGCCTCGGTCCAGCCAGAAATTCAGTACGTTCTTCATTTCACGTTGCAATGTAACGCTACTGTAGTTGAGATCCGCCTGAGCACAGCTGAACTGATGCAGATAGTATTGTTTCCGTGTCGCGCTCCATTCCCATGCGGAGCCTCCGATGGCACTCAACCAGTTGTTTGGCGGTTTCCTAGTACCGTTCGCTACCAGCGCGTCACGCCAGATATAGTACTCGTCGTAGGGCTTGATCCGTTGGGCGCTTTTTACGAACCATTCGTGCTCGTGAGAGCTGTGGTTCGGCACGAAATCGAGGATTACTTTCAGCCCGAGGGACTTCGCCTTCGCCACAAGTTTGTCAAAGTCAGCTAAAGTACCGTAATCCTTGTCGACGTCGATATAATTAGCAATGTCGTAGCCGAAGTCGCTTTGCGGGCTAGTGTAGATTGGTGACAGCCATAGCGCATCGGCGCCGATGTCCGCGATGTGTTCCAATTTGCTCGTGACACCGTTCAAATCTCCTATACCGTCTCCATCACTGTCCTTGAAACTTCTCAGATAGACTTGGTATATCAAACTGTTCTTGTACCAATGCTTACCCGTTCTTTCGACTGACGCGGAAGTTGTTGAAGCAACCAACGCCGCGACGAAGATATACAGGCGAAACATACTGACTGATTCATTTGTCGTTTCTGACGCGCTTTTATACTGACAATGAGACCAACTTTTGAAAGGTTCATAGCAGCAGATACGCTGTTAGAATATTGCCATTTTTGTTTGATAAGTTCGCAGCTGCAGATGATTGCATCCGGGAATTACTGATAACGATAACATTCATTACGATAGCACAAAAGTAATCTGATACTTTAGATAGCTTTTCTCTTATGTAATTATTTCTATAATGTCAAGAATAAAACACCGTAATTTTTATTTAAAATATTTATTGCGTTTAATAAAAACGTATTGCAATTATATTGCAGAAATTTATGTTATAATGAGTAAAAAGTGAATCGTACAAAATTGCAAATGAAGATATTGTTTCAAACTTATTTCGCCAAAATGTAATTTTGCAAAATAAAAATTATTTGATACGGGCGAATTAATTTCTACAAACATGTAATGCGAAAAAGTACTGTGTACACAGTACTTTTTCGCATTACTGTGTATTTTAATTACTATGCTACATGTAGAAAAGGATAATTAAAATCGTGCTTTGACGTGCCATAGGATGATAATCACTTTTATTTAACTCCGCCATGGCAATTAATTAAAAAATGTACTTTATTAAAAAAAATTGGGAGTGAGGAAATAAAGTTAAATTGAGGTAGCAACAAAGGAAAATTAATTATTAAGATAACATGAAGCAACCGAGTCCAAACGCCAATGAATATTGTTTTAGCATGAACATATATTATCTTATACTAGACGACGGTAAAAAAGTATTTTTATTCTGGCCGAAGTAAAATTTATTCTGTCAAACAAAAACACATATCTTGTAGATACATAAATCAGCACTAATTACTTCGATTTGAAGTGCTATCGTAATGATGTTCGTTGCAAATAATAGTAACACGGTGACTCCAAATTTACTTTTGTTTCCTATTACATGATACATTTCCTTCGAATATTTATTCTCACATTTATGTAAGACGATCTGCCTGTAGAAACTGTCTAGCTTACGTCTATAGACGTATGTTCGAAAGTTCACTTTACTGAAGAATTATCCGTTAGGATAATACGAGATAAGCAGAAAATTACTCAAAGATATCTAGTGTGGCTACTACAATAGAGGCCGCACCGGGTAGATACACGGCATCATTATTAATTTCCGTTCCTGGAGGAACGGACTCCACGCTAGATGTATAGACTTTCAACTGTTCCGAAATATTCAACCAGGTCCTAACGTTGACGACGGGGATGTTAGTGTCGTCGAAGTTCACTAGGACCGCTACGACGGATGATCCTTGTCGTCGTACCACCCCTAAAACATTCTCTGTGAAACTGCATTTATAACAGTACAACGCAGTCTCCAGGGAGCCTTGCTCGATGACAGGCTTTTTCTTTAGTTGCCCCATGTGTTTAAATACGTTGTAATGAGAGAGAAATTCCTTTTGTTGCTTTGCCAAATTCAAATCCTTGTAATTGTCGTTCACCGGAAGCCACGTTGTTTCGTTCGTAGAAAAGCCAGCGCTGGTGGTATCGTCCCATTGAAAAGGCGTTCTTTCCGGATCTCGCGACTTGTAGCAATATCTGAAAATACGATCATATTGAAATTAATTGACAAAAAGAAAGATATATACATACATATAATTAAATTTAATGCAATTTGTTTCAAATGCAGATTTACTATGGTTTGTCAACAAAATGTAAAAGATAACATAATTAACTATGCATACAATTGTAATTTGATTTAATTATTCCGACTGTAAAACTAGCTGATCAGATTGCAATATGTCTATTGTAAATAAAAGCATCGTCAATTTTTAATGGTCCTTGATGTATGCAATTAATTGATTTGCATTACATTAATTATTAGTAGACAAAATCACACTACTCTTATAATAATACCTAAATGTATTTATAGTTAACAAATAATATTTTTGTGGTGATATTTTTTTATATTATCAATCAACACTTTTATGCTATTATATTCCAGATAATGTAAAAGAAATCAGAAATTCATTTAAAACGTATAATGATTAGATAATATGATTAGATTTTGGTCGGATTCGTCGTAACAATATCTGTCCTATATACCTATTATTCCAAATCTACTTAGATACATATAATTTTGTCCAGGTTTATCTTTCACTCGTGATACCTGTCGGGTCCAGCATTACGTCCGGCAGGATCCTTGGTTTCCTCGTACGTAAAACGTCTATCGAGCATACCGATCTCATCGCCATTGTAAATCACGCTCACGCCGGGTAGAACGATCGCCAGCATGTTAAGTTGATCGGCCCGTTTTTCGCCGAATCTCGTAGCCGCGCGATGATTGTCATGGTTGCCCACTACCCAGTTCGCAACATATTCACCTTCGGGTATATTGTTCATCCAACGATCGATATAGCGCTTGAAATCTGACGCGCTGGACTTGTCGTTCAAGTCTGCGATGAACACGAAGTTGAACGGCACCGTCGAACCCGACTGATAGTACTTTATAGTGAGATCCAAGTCCGCATAAGCCTCGGTCAGGATCATTTTCGTGTCAGCGGTCTCCGAGTGACTGTCCATCAATTCCCTCCAAGTTTTGAGAACGTCGTAAGTTTCGGGACGATTTTTCGTGTAAATGTGGTCCAAGTAGTCATAGTCATTGGGATCTAACTCAGGATTACTTATTGGTTCGTCCCGCAATTCGGGATCCTCGTACATATGATTGATAGCATCAATGCGAAAGCCCTCCACGCCCCGGTCCATCCAAAAAGTCAGCACGTCTTTCATTTCTTCCCGTAGTTTATCGTTATGATAATTGAGATCCGGCTGTCCATCAGCGAACTGATGCAAGTAATACTGTCCTCGTTTTTCATTCCATTTCCAGGCAGAGCCTCCGAAAGCGCTCAACCAGTTGTTCGGTGGTATTCTCTCTCCGTTTTCATCTTTTCGCTTATCACGCCAGACGTAATATTCGTCGTAAGGTGGGATCTTTTCGATACTATCGAGGAACCATTGGTGCTCATCAGAGCTGTGATTCGGCACGAAATCAAGGATTACTTTCAGCCCGAGAGACTTTGCCTTCGCCACGAGGTCGTCAAAGTCGTCTAGAGTGCCGTACTCCTCATGGATTTCAGTAAAATTAGAAATGTCGTAGCCGAAATCATCCTGCGGGCTACTAAAGATCGGTGACATCCATAGCGCATCGGCGCCGATGTCCGCGATGTGTTCCAATTTGCTCGTGATGCCTGGCAAATCGCCAACGCCGTCTCCGTCACTGTCCTTGAAACTTCTCGGATAGACCTGGTACACGAGACTGTTCTTGTACCAATCCTTATTCGATTCCTGGACCCGGATCGAACCGGCCAAAACGATCAGTACCGCGAGAATGCACGAGCGAAGCATAATGACTGTTTGACTTTGATTGCTCATTCCGGCTGCTTTTATACCAGCCGGCGATCTTGTGAAAAATTGAGAAACTTGTTGTCATATTATCGATTGATAAGCGCGCGGTTACGCGTCTAGGAATTATCACTTGATAACGCTACCTTGCACTCTTGCAACGACGTCCATATCAAGCGATATCAAATGTGCACAACTGTTTCCATCGTGTTATTACTTTTACGTCGAAGCGCAATAATCGTTGCAATTGTACGTAATCATCTGCGCATTTGACGTGAAATTATTCCGTCGCTATCGCCTGTGCAATATGTAGACTTACGAAAATAAGTTGATACAAATATTTGCTGAAATAATCGTTGCTTGAACTTGGCTGCGGGCGATCGATACTGCTCCATAAAACATTTCGCGTCCGCCGCACGTTTCGCGGTGTATCGCTGATTGCGCTATTTCGCATTACAAATTTGGAGATAATAATGCCGCGCCACAGATTTCACCACGAGGATCCCCCAGCGGCGAGGCTCGTCGATGGCTCGAGGTCTCGCCCGCGCGGCGCATCGACGCGCGTCGCGGAGAATCGATCTCGCCACGCTGCACTTAAAAAATTCGCGGAATCGCACGCGACTCGCGCGCGACTATTATAACTTGCTCTTATTGTTACACAGGAAGAGATTTGCGGCTTTTCCCGCGAAAACCGCTGGCCTCGCTCGCTCGCCGCGCGTAACGTCGTCTTGCAGCCGGCCGATAAGATTTTTCGATCCGCGGCCACTTGAAAAATGGCAAACATTCAAACCCGCACCATCTCGCGTGCTAAAGGCGTTTATGCGTGTTGGCCTCGTAACTGCTATCGCGGCCTACGCCTAATTATACAGGTGGTTCCCCAGCCGCGTTTCTTACTTTCTTATACGGCACCGTTGCGAGGGTCAATTTAATCTCTGCGCGAGCGCCGAGCTTTCCGTCAGGAATAAATTTGCTATTACCGCGAAATAACGTTGACATCGTTGCGGGATACCTTCGTTTTTCCTCGCTTTCTCTAACGAGTAAGAGAGAAGGCCATTTCTCATCGCTCTACTCGCGCGTCGTGTATTCCAGTACGGTACGAAAAAAATTTTGCCCCCGCCTTGAAAATTCAACGACGACAGATACCCTTTGAAATAAACTTGCTCTGATAATATGATAAAGTGCCGTCGTTCAACATTCTCCCGGGAAGTTGTACTATAAAGAACACGGCGAAAGTCCCGGTACAATAGGGAAGAGAACAATTCCCCTGCAAAAAAACAAGTAAGTCGAGGTAATTTATCGTACATCGAATGCGAAAACGATATTATTATCTGTGACGGGCTTACAATGCCTTATTGCTTTTCCGGTAGTTTTATCCGATAGTTGATAGATAGCGAATGGATCAAGCGGAGGAAGTGTCACGTGAGCGCGGTGTCAAGTGCTAGTCAATGTAAAGATGTACTTCATGCGAAGCCTGACACTGCCACACAATCTGAAACGGTCTTACGATCCAACTTGCATAATAATTCCTGCTGCGAATATATCGTCGACCGTTTTACACGTCCCTTTACAAAATCGTCTGATAAATGGAAAAAGTCTTGATAGAAACGGTCTTTTACATCCCTATTCCCTTTTGCTCTCTCGGCAGCGTCGGGCACTTTGAAACACTCACTCCGAGAAAGGCGGCTTGCGCTCTTTGCGATTCTTTGATACATTCTGTCGCTCGTATTTGATGTAAAATGCGTTAGGTCTCTCTAAATACAAAAAAAAAGAATACGGCTTTTTCACGTAGCACAAACACAATTTCATGCGTTGGTATTAGTAAAATGGAGAAATTACCGCACGAAGAAGATCAATGAGACAAAGAATTGATTATCTTCGATATTACAGTCAATGATATTTGTGCATTGAGTAAACTTAGTAACGCGATGAGTAAAAATAAGAGTCTCGCCGCAAAAATCATCCGTAAATCCGAGCGGTAGAGATGCAATTTTGCACGATTGTGCTCTTTTTGTATCTACAGAAATTGCATTACGTCATACGAAATCGGACAAGTTTAAGATAAAAGTGCTAAGCCAACGAGTGGGAAGGTTGCGTAGAGGGGAAGAAGTAATAAAGCGACAACGTGTAAATTGGTCGCGGATTAAAAGCGCAAACTCCAAAGAACATAACCGGCAAAAACGTTGCGTTTTGCGGAATAATTTACGGTTACGAATGCAGCGAGGTGGCCGGAAAATATTACCGTCAGCAAGAATTCTCATACGGCTACCGCGGCCGTGAAGTTTTGTCTCCGGGTGTTATTTATACGGGTAATTTTCTTCATGGCTTACGGCCAACTTAATTCATTCATTATCCGGGCGGACGATAAAGACAATTTCGTTGAGATGATACATCATTCTTATTAGCGGCGCCATTCCCATTGTTGACTTTCGTTGGCTACCAAGTTTATCAAAATTTCTGTTTTGTCTCACAATATTATTTATCAACCTTTCCGCCAGCATTTTAGCATACCCCGGGGAAATGTGTTGGCGTACATAAACATTTCATTTTCATTCGATTAATCTTATCACCCGTGAGTACCTGACGGTAAACAATATTGAGCAATTTTCGCCTAACGTCGCGACCCAAAAAATATAGAACACAGCGATGTATTTTATTAATCTGATCTTACGACCCCGTTTGTCGACGGGATCAATTTAATTTTGTTCTCTTGTTTCTTGCGAATGCTTCTTACCGCAATGAGTTCATAGAAAAGGGACGCGCAAGTGTCGCGAGAAAATTGCGGCCAACATTTTTAAATTAAACAAGTCAATATCCACGGTGCAAATTACGGCGCGCATCAAACACGAGGTAATGAAAGGAAATCAGAACGCGGTCGTTTCCCCCCGATTTCAAAAATGAATACCTCTTCGCAATCGCGTCCTCCCGTGACGAGAATCAATTTCCGCCGTGCCCGCGCTCCCATCGCCTAATTAAAGCGAGTTCGCGTTACGCGGGTTTTATTTGCGATGTAATTTTCAACGACCAGCGCGACCAAGCGGTATTAAGTCAATTCTCGCCGGGAGGAAGCTTTTCACGACGTGCGATCGTTTCGAAGGACGCGACGTAGGCGGGCACTGACTGGCTTGGCCAGTGCAACGAGGCCACCTTATGTCAGCCACCCTTGGTGCGATGGGGTAGTCAAACAACCCCCTCGCAGTTTACAGCCGTAATTAACTTCCCAGGTTATTAGCCCTCGTTCGTGGCGGGCTACTTCCCCCCCCCCCCTCCCCCCTCTCTTTCCAGTAGTCTCGACAGCTTTCCTCGCAACTCGCTGAATCCAATGGGCTCCGTCCGGCTGTGTCGGCAAGTTTATCACGGCAAACTTCTGCGAAGAAATGTTTTTAGGAGTTGCTGAAAGTCCGAGATGCGGGGCGGAAGCCATCATATAATCATACGGCGTCGCACCGTAGAAAAAATGGAGGGGGGGGAGAGGGAACTACATCCGCAGATAACGAATGACTCTCGAAACTTCTCGGATTAGCCAAGATACCGTATATACGATCGCGCGAAGAAGCGAAATCGTGTCGAATAAGCGGGTTTTTTTTTCGAAATTAAAAGTGACATGTATATTGGCCTCGACAACATGTATGTGTACCTAATTTTAGGACTCTATTGAAAGCTATTGACCTGTCCGAGATCACAGTAACTTGTTACCGTTGTAGCAAGTACAGACGGCATCTGTTGCATTTGCAGGCGATCGTCGACAGGTAGCACATTCTTCTAAAATTCATGACATTCCTTCCATTTGCGGCGCGAACTTTCGTATCTAGATTTCGCCGAAGAATACTCCATCGTCTAACTTTGGATAAGCCCGAACTGGAACTACGCGGACGTTTCAGTATAATTTAAGGGAGTTTCCCGGCGTCACTTTCCACATCATTTACCTTTCGAGAAGGAAAACGAGCTTAAGAATGATCTGGTTATTTGGATAAATAACCAAGCTCCGCGTTGCTTGTGATCAGCGCCCGTTTTATTGCGCCTCGCAAGCTCTGCGAGATGATTTAAAATTTCGGCAATGCACGCGGCATTTCATCGATGTAATAAGTGTTACGGTTGCATTACTTAATTAAACAAATGCGCGGCCTTTGAGTGATAACGAGAGCGCGTAGTGAACAACAAAGGTAACATCATTACCTTGTATGAATTGCGAATTGTAATTTCATACTAATTAATCAATGAATAAAACAATATTTCGGGAATTGCGAAATGTATTTTTACTTAACGCGCAATAGTATAATGTTATCATTCATTTTCAAAGTTGCGGCAATGCAATTACAAAAATAGTCATATTCTGAAATGTATTAATACACTTTCACAATGGCAATACGTAAATGGCATTTAATCTAAATAAGTCGTAAATGCAATATGTGTGTGGCAATAATATTCGAAGGCTCGGCCCGTTATTTTCGCACAGTGGGACTTTGAAAGACATAATATGCGTCCTTTTTAGATTTTTTAAATCATCATTTGTGAAACATCAAACAGAAGGAAAGAGTAACTCGGCAAATGCGAATTTAATTTCATAATCTAATGTACATCGGTATTACGGCAGAGATAACATCGAGCGCGAAGGGTTAAAACAGCTACAGAGAGATGAAAAGGGATATTTCTGATTTCCGCTCGTGTCCGCTTCAGCTAAATATGACTTTGTGAACAGCTACATTCTATGTATCTATATATTCTATATATCTACGTACGTATATGTATGTCCTCGCGCTCGCACGCGCACACACAGGGCTCTTGAAAACTTTGCGCGCGGACGATATCTCGTAGAAGCACATCCGCGGACGTAATTCAAAGCCGCGGATCAAGTTTGCAGGAGATCTTTCACTCGTTTGTGCCTCTCCTTCTTTTTTTTTTCTTAATAATTATGCACCTCGTCGACGGAGGGCGTAGACCGGTCGTCGCCTCTTTCCGGCCAAGACGGTTCCCCCTCAGTCGACGTCGCCAACTCCTTTCGAAAACTTTGTCGAGT